GGGCCACCCGTCCGGCTCAAGGCCACCCGGGGCCTGCCTTCACTGTGGGGAGAAGGCAGCCGCGGCCCGCCCGCCTGGGGGCTGACCGCCTGGGGCTGACCGCCTGGGGGCTGACCGCCTGGGGCTGACCGCCTGGGGGCTGACCGCCTGGGGGCTGCCCACCTGGGGCTGACCGCCGGTCACGCGGCCCCTTTCTCTGGCCCTGACTTCAGGGGCAGCGGGCGGGCCTGGGAGCTCCCTCTGCAGCTGGACTGGCCCGGGGGTGCAGGGGGTGGCCGCCTGCCTGCTCGCGGGGTGGTCAGGGGACGACACGTGTCCACTCCGTCAGGCGCTGGCTGCAGAGCTTGGCCCGTCGCGGCCCTGCCCGGCGGCGCGTGGGCTCAGCCGCAGCACCCCGAAGCTGCAGGCGGCCACTGCAGCGTGGGCTCAGTCCCGGGCCGGGGAGGGGACCACGTATGGAAACAAGAAAAGAGGATCCTGCCGCCTCTTCACATTGCTTTCGATTTCGGTTCGTAGATGGCCCCGACCTGCGGGTGACGGCCTGCTGCGGCCACTGGCCTCGCGTGGCGTGTCGGTCTGGCTGACTCGCCAGCTTTGTTGCGGGACAGAACGAGGTCACGCGCGTGGAGCTCCTGGAGTCTGCTCTCGGCGGCCGCCCCGCCGCGGGGGACGCGCGCAGACGCCTGCCCAGCCTGTCCCTTCCGCCTGGCCCGCTCCCGTGCGCTCCGGCCGCAGCCGGCCGCTTAGCTCCTGGGAGCCCCGACTGGAGACGAAGGACGGAGGAGCCAGGGCGGAGCCCGGTGTGGCCGTGTGCGGCCTCCGCTGGCCGCGGCGACCGTGACGCAGCCGGGCTGACGCTTGCGCTTCCGTGTGAAAGCTGCGCGCTCTTTGTCTATCATTTTTAGACACTTACGCTTCTTTTTAAATAAGGTTGATTCGTGTACATACGAGCTGGGGTGCGGCTGGGGTGTGAGAGGCCCCCCAGAGACAGAGTGGGGAGCAGGACGGGCGAAAGCACTGCAGCAGACTGCTGAGGGGGCGGGGCGGGGCCGGCTGCGCCCTGGGGCCCCTCCCCGGCCGGGGATCCTGCTGCTTTGGCCGGCCGCTTGCCTGACCCTGCGTGTGGACACTCGACCCTCGTGCGCCCCGCGGACCCGCCCGCCCAGGCTCGGGGGGCTGCCCAGCTGCGGGGTGATGTTCGAGGTGAAGCAGGTGCTCAGAGGAGCGTTCGGGGGCTGTTTTACCTCTCCCCAAATGAGAAGGCCACGGAAGCGGCAAGTGTGGACCACGCCAGGGTCTCTGTCGGAATCCTGTTCGGCCACTGCCGCCCCGGGCAGCACCCAGACTGATGCGAGCCCAGGTCTCTGCGCTGACGGAGCCGCTCACAGGCGCCCGGGGGCTCTCTGTGGCGTGGACTTACTGGGGTGCGCAAGGCCCGCGTGTGGAAGGCCTGGAAATGAGCTGTGTGCGAGGCGGCACCTGTGACTGACCGCCACGGCCACGCGTCGTCCTCGCCGCCACGACAGGACGTTTCTCTGCTGGAGAAGGGGTCTGTGGCCGGCGTTCTGGGGGGTCTCCCGACACTTAGATCTTTCATGCTTTGTGTTCAAAAAGGAAAGGGCGCACCGTGGGGCGCCAGCCCTGCGTGTTGGTAGCAGCGACGCTGGATCCTCAGCCACCCCGCCATGGGCCC